CTTTATTTTTTATATACAAATTTAATTAACTAATATTTAATGTAATGATTAAAAAAATGTTGTTTTTAAATAATTGTAATCTAAATGATTTTTTTTTATTTGGAATTTCCGTTTTTGTTGATTTTTAAAATTAAATATGTCAACCGCTGCAACTTAGATGTTTTCCTTTCCATATGAAGAGAGTTGTTATAAGACAAAGTCAGTTAAATTTGAAGATATGTGTTTGAATATGCCGATAGTAGGAATATCTCCATACTGCTTCATTATTATTATTATGCTATTAAATGTCATTTCATGAGAATCACATAGAAAGGCATTTATTTATAGTATTCAGTTTTCGTTTTTAGCTGAGTAAAGGTAACTTTTCTCGGGCTTGGAGATAGATCACCTTCAACTCATTTGCCTTTCTCTAAATGCTTAGAGAAAGCACGCTTTTGTATGTTATATGTGGAGCACAGACAAGCAAGAAAGGTCAAATGAATATTTATACGTAAATATTGAATAAATATAAGGCTAATAAGTTAGTTATTTAGTTAAATATATAAACATATAAACTGATATGTGTTAAATACGGTCTCAGCAAATTAATTGTTTCATGTCAATCTACCAGCTGCTTCTACAGTTTCATCAGAATATATGTATATGTATATAATATACAAACTTTTCCACTCACATAATACATTTGTTTTTCTAAGCTCGCCTAGAAACTTATGAGCTGTAACTATTAGAGCTACATATATATTAATTACTGCATGAAATAGCAATACATTTAATGTTTCAGTAGAACTATTATAGTCATATATCAATTACATTAAAAAACTGCTTAGCCGCTTAAAAATAAAGAGGAATTTCTGTTCATACAACTTATTAACAGACGCCTAACATTTCATGGAAATGCTTTCAGCTGTAAAAATGCTTCGGTATAAGTATAAACAAAAACAATCATTGACAAATTTAATTAAACTTTAATAAAAGTTTATAAATAGATAGCGATTAGGCCTAATGCCATTTGGCGTTTTAATTATAGACTCTAAATTGCTTTGGCAGCTTAAAATATTTCATATAATCAATGTGACAAAAAGAAAAAAAAAAAAATAAATGCCCGGAAATTTCCATAAACATTTCGCTTGAGGTCAAATAAATGAATTTGTAATTGAGTTGATTTATTCCTTGAGTTTGGCATTTAATTGCTAGGGATTACGTTAAGAGAATTATTTTCACTTGTTACAATAAATATTTAATGATTGCCGCACCCTAAGCTAATGTGTGTTTATTTAATATATATTTAATTTCAGTTTGATGAAACTTGCCATCTTCCATTTCCATTTCCATTTCCATTTCCATTTCCACTTCCACTTCCATTCTCAATTCGGATTCCATTTAAAGTAATTTGCAGCAATTGCCAATGAAGCGGCGATAATCGCTGGCAATAAAGTGCCACGCCCACTAGCCCACTGGCAATGAAGTTCAAAGCGAATGCGTTTGGTTGGCGGCAGTTTCTGGGGTGCTTCGCATATTGAAAATTACATTTTGGCTAAAACAAATTTGCATTCGGAGTGCTTTAGCTCAATATTGGGCTAATGAATTTTCAGGCCAAAAGCGAACGAATGCCACAGAGCTGAAGCCAAAATGTCGGCCACTTCAAAATGCCAATTGATGATCGGCAAGTGCCGTGCCTGAGGGCACTTGGTCTCCAAAATTTGTATTTAAATTACATTTCGCTTGGGTAAATTGAAAATGTTTTCTCTGATTCGTCGACGGCTGCTGCTGCTGCTGCTGCTTCTGCTTAAATGCTTTTCCACTTTTCACTTGGCTTAGAGTAGCGCTGCTTGGCCTTTTAATGAGTTTGGCGCGGCGCACGTTGCGAATGATTAATGTTGGAGTGATGGCGTCGCCGATAAGTAAAAGACCGGCTTGTAGTTTCCTCGTCTTTATTTGTAGATTAGAGCTGTGTCGCTCGTATAGTATTGTGAATATATAGTTGTATCGAAAAGTCAGTACCAGGAGAGGCAAGTGACAAGTGTGTGAGAGGAAGTACTCAGCAGTACACAACAGAATGCTGTTAATAACATAACATTGTGTGGTGCGGGAGGAGCAATTCTTGTTAATGAGATTTGGCATTAACAATTAATATTTTGTATTTCGCTCGACAGCATCGAGCAGCGCGAGTCCTTGCCATCAAACAATTCATCATTGGCCAACAATGGCAGCCAAGCTTTCCATAAATATCTACAAAATTCACAAAGGTATCCTTCTGGGAGCCGCGCTGACTGCGCTGCGACTGCTGCGCTACTTCAGCCACTTTGCTGCTTGACAAGCCAATTTGCTTGCCAAAGTCCTTTTCGAACATTTTATAAGTCATATTTATGCTGGCTGCCAGCCAAGTGGCCAAGTGGCCAAGTGTCCTGCCAGCTCAATTTAAGTGAGTGCTCGCCCCTCTCTGTCCGCTCCGACTCCGTCCCCAGTTGGCGGCGCATTTTAATGATGCCATTGAAGTTTTTGGCGTCAGCCGAAAGGTGTCGACAGTATTTACACTGCCAGCCACCTGAGTGATGACAAATTTCGTTAGCCATTGTTCGAGCGCTCGCAGGACTCTTCATTAGAGGCGATTACGCGCCCAATTCTCTTGCAACTTTTCTCGTTAGTTCTTATCGCGCGCCTCGTAAAAATCAACGAGCAGCGGGCAGAAACTTCAACTGCTCCTGCTCTATAAATCATACTAGCATAATCGTTGCTAGACACGCCCACGCCCACACACAAACACACGCAACGCCCAGTGGTCAAAAGCATTTCCGATTTTGTTTCCTATTTTTATTTTGGACGTTGCTTAGCTGCAAATTTTTGCGCTGAGCTCAACAGAAACTCCCAAAAAATAAGTCGTTCAATAGTTCGTCGATATTACTATTATTATTATTATTATGCTTATTATCATCATTGTTGTTGTTATAATGACAATGGTCTTCTATTATTGTCGCTCTTGTCTTGTTGGCATTATTAGCCATGGCAATGGTCAGACATTTTCTGTCGAGTTGACACAAAAGTCTCTCGCCTGCTTTTGCTGTTCGATAATATTTATGCTGTTGTTCAAGTTTTAATGGCAACTGTTTTGGTCACTTTTGCGGCCAGATATGAGCTAATTAATGCAGTGGGAAATAAAAAGAACCGGATCATGTTGATGTCGTGATATGGAGTAAAATAAGTTTGTAAAAGTTTGGCAACGCTATAGAAAAGTTTTGGAAATTCAGATAGTTTCGCTGTCACATATATTATTATTATTATTATACACTAGCTGGCCCGGCAAACGTTGCATTGCCCTATCCATTATTTCTATACATATGCAGTAAATATTAGAAAATAAAATCAATTTAAAGTTTAGATATGCGGATGTAAAACTTAAGATAAGCAGATTCGACACCTATACTAAAGGCATTTAATTTATGTTTTTTTTTTTTTTTTGCATACATTAAAATTAAGAGCGAAGGGGATTTTGAATAAATTATATAACCAAATTAATTGCGTATAATGAATGGAAAAACGCAAATCTTAATGCATAAAGGCATTTTTTTTTTTTTGTT